TCTTAAAGATCAACATGCTTGTTATGTGCCCTATAGACCTAACAAATGTAAACAGATGGCTTCTCTCTTAGAACTGAAGGCAAAACTTTAAGAATGTGGTATATTTTAAGAAAAAAGCCAAAGACCCCAAATGATTAAAAATCTTTTTTAGGGCCAGTGAGAAGGCTCAGCTGGTGAAAGCATGGGCTGGCAGACCTGATGAGCTAGTTCCGTTCCGAACCCTCAGAGACAAGAGAGAGCGCCGACTCCTGGAAGCTGCCCTCTGGCCTCCCCCCAACAACACACACACAGATGTATGCGCATGCATTATTAATGCATAAAATAATTGAAAAATAAATTTGAGTAAGTAGGTACTTGCTAATGAGAAAAGATTGAATAGCTGTCCGCTTGGGTTTATTTCCACTACAGAAAATTTTGATTTAATGAAGACTTGGGTAACTCTATCAACCCTAAGAGGCAATGGCCTATATTAACACAAACAACTTCCAAATGTTCCTTATGAATCAGCAAAAATGTTACCCCTACCCCTTCAGTTTTAATGTGTGTATGTAGTGTGTGTTGTTGTTGTTTAATGTCTTATTCTGTAGTCTAAATGGGTCCAGAACTGACCATGTGTCCCAAGCTAGCCTTAAATTTATAGCAATGCCCTTGTCTCAGACTCCTGTAGTGATATTTGGTTTGTGATTTAGCAAATAAGGCTTGACTGAAGATCAGAGTACAGAGCTAAACTACGACTTAGCCATAGAAGCCAGGCAGAGGTGGCACACATCTTTAATCCCAACACTCAGGAGACAAAGGCAGGTGGATCTCTGTGAGTTCAAAGCCACCCTAGGCTACACAAGATTGAACCAGTCTAAAAGAGAAACAGAGCTCACACCTCTGGTGTCAGCACTTGGGATCCACACACCTTTTATCCCAGCACTAGGGAGGTGAAGACAGGAGTGATGTGACTGGATGGAGAGAGGAATATAATAAGGGAGGAGACAGGAGCTCAGAGCACTCATTCTGAGAATTCGTGGGCACAGGATCTTGTCCCCTCTTCAGTCTGAAGATTCAGTAGAGGTAAAAAGTCTCTCTGGTAGCTAGCTGCTTTGTTTCTCTGATCTTTCAGCATTTACCCTAGTATCTGACTCTGGGTTTTTATTAGTAAGACCCATTAGAATTCCCGCAACACTTTCCCTACTGGCCATCTGGACAACTCTAGCCTCAGGATGCCCTTTCTGTGTTCAGACCACAACTTGGAAAAGGACATGAGCAGAAAGAAGGCGCTCTGTGTCTGTCCCCATTCTGACCCTCGTGAGAACCACGTGAACTTACAGTTGTTCTGGAGAAGCTTGTCCAGGGAATGGCGCCACTGCAGGGCCTCGTCCAGCGAGGGCCTAAATCAATGATAAGGACAGAGAAGGGTGACTGCGTAAGAAGGAAGTTAACCACATGCATGACAATGACTCGATCCTGGTTTCTCAGATGGAAATGACACAACAGTCAGGATAGGGTAGAAGGATTATTTTCTGCCGTTGGTCTGATGAGCTGTTGGCTATCTGGTATCTACAGTGCATTTTTATTGCTTTTTGAACAATCTGACCAGACAGGTCTTTTTTGGAGTCTATTTGTTCTGCGGTCATGTCTAACAGTCTTATATATTCCATAGGAGTGAGTCCAAAGACAATCTTTATTTCAAATATGTGTTAATGAAATCCAACCATCCCATCACAGAGGGTAAACTAATCTTAAGTTTCACTACTGACTTAATAGATGTGGTATTTGATTCTACATCCCAATGCCAAAGTCATCTCACTAAGACTAACAGAAGACAGTCAGCTTGATTTTGTCCCGTATTAGAAGTATGGTTGAAAAATAAAATCTATATTTATTTATTATTCTCCTTCCAATTAACATAGAGAGACACTTTTGGAAGATTTTTTTTTTCCAAAAGAAAAGCATTAGTATCTCCTAAGTCAGAGACACTGACTCAAAAGGTTTAGTTGCCAAGATATAACTTATGCCTTGACTGCTGTTACCTGAACATCTGCATCCACAGAAAGCCCACAGCTGTACTTTGTTAACCACCAAGTCTCTTCTTTCATCAGAATGCACAAAGGTGAGCTGCTGTTGTCTGAGGGGAAAGAGCTGACTTTATCTTCCTGTGTTCACCGAGTTTGAACCCTTGAATGACTACATTTGGTCTTTATCATCCAATTAAAGCAGACTGGCAAAACATTTATTTTGAGACAAAGTTGAAGATGTGTTTTTATCCCCAAGGTCTTAGGTTGTTTAGTAACTGAGACAATTCACACATGTATGTGTATTGTGTATGTGTGTGTTTATACTTTATTGTAACCTATATTATTTATAGAAATAATATATATTATTTTGCATGTACATGTTTACAATGTGTTTAGTACTTTACATATAGCAGACAACCATCAAGTCCAGATGTTCTCAGAATCAAGAGACTGTTATACAATGGGACAATAGGAACTAACTCAAAGCAAAGGGTAGGCCTGGGTCACTCCCTGAGCCTCCAGATTTTATAAACAGTCTCATCAAATGAAATAGCTTGTCCTGCCCTTGTTCTTTGGTTAGCATAAAGGCACACAGGAAGAAGCAATGCCACGAGCAGGTGCCCTGACTTACACATGTTACCAGATGCAATTTGTCCCAAACGGTCTCATTATAAAGCCAAGTAATGGTCAATATCAGCAGCACATCACGACCAAGATTAAATTCCTGAAAGGGACATGTGCCGAGCCTGCTTGGGGGTGAAATTAGGCCAAATTGATTTAAGGACATAGTTGAGTAGGACAGATCCCCCCACGGCATGTAGCCCAGTGTTCTGATTACCAGTCAAGGAGGTGACAGGTTCACCCTGTCCTGATTCTCAGAATTTGCCAGCTCTCATTAAGCGTGACTTCTTTGGAAACAAGAGAGATGCAGATCCAAATGACCAATGAGCATCCCGGTTGGCAAGGTCACTGTTGACCACGGAGGGTGAGCACAGAGCTCTCCCTGTGTGGGTGTGAGTGACGGGGAGGAAGCTGGCTCAGATGAAAAACAAGATAAACATTTATAGGAGTGATTGACTATGTGTTTTATAATGTCCAGTGCAAATACCACCTGATTCAGGAAGTGACCACATCAGTTTGGAAACAACAGCTTTTTCCCCTCCTAACTGCTTTCCACTTGCTAAATAGTTCATATACTAATAGGACACAAAACCCCTGCCCAAGGTCGGGTATCATTCCTAGAGAACATTCCCATTCTTTCTTATTCCCACAGAAGCAGTCTGAAGGAATAAGTGAGGTTGGCTGCAAAGATGAAGAAAATATGTTCAATTTGGGACCTGCATATGGACATCAAAACAAGGCAAGTAACTCATCTAGAGTTCCCATCTGTTGGCCATTGGATAAAGACTCAATCCATGTTTATAGACCTGATGGGTCGTGAGCAAAATACACTGTGAAGGACTTCTTTCAATAAACAGGGGCCAAATTGATAGGTAACCAAAAGTCTGGCTCCATTTACCCAGAGGCAGCTTTGTTGAAAACCACAGATGACTCACTATTTAGATTTGAATGAACAGAGCCATGAGCTACAACTGTTGGCAACATAGGTAAATACTAGTCTTGGGGAAGAATTTAACTTGGTAGCACCAATGGCTGGATTTTATAGTGTTGGTTTCCTCTTTGTTTTGATTTAGTTGGTGATCTATACAGTGTCTGGTATATATACTTGATTATGCTTGATCATGTTTTCCTGGGTTCTTGCTTTTGACAAGGAAAACAAACCTCGAGTTCATTGGTGTCATTTGTGAGCGCCTCCTTTTTTCTTCCTTACTGTCCTAGAGAACACATGCAGGCTCAAGTCCATGTGCATTTCTTGTGTCCTTACCCCCATGGCCTTTTGGCACCATGAATATGTTACATACTTTTGAAATGCCTTTTCTTTGTATCCGTAAAGTTGCACATACCCCCTGTCAAGGCTCACGCTACAGTTAACCTGGTGCAGGAAAACACAGGATACCATGCTGTGACTGTTCGTCACCAGCCAGGGTTTGGACTAGCTATTTGTGGAGGTCATTCTGGGGCTTTAAAGTGATAAACACAATAATAACAATACTTTCAGTTAAAAATTGATAACAGATGTCAAAGAAGGACATTTAGAGTATAAAAGCCTGCTGGAAAGAGGGTCTGCCCCTGACATCTTGTAATTCAGCATATTACAAACCATAATGCTAGTACAAACTCAATGTGTGTAGCTTACAAACTTTGGTTATCATTCATTCTGAGGACCTGCAGCAGAGCCTTTGGAAAGACAGAGAGTGGGCAAAGGAGGGGAGGGAGAGGGGAAGACAGGGCCAGTAGTTAAGGAAGAGAGTTCTGATAAAGAGGGAGCTAAGACAAAACAGGTCAAGTCTGCCTTGAGTCAGACACCCAGCCTTAAGAACAACACCTTCATCAAGGAAGTAGGGCTGACAGAGCAGACAGAAGTCTGCAAACATCATCCAATGAAAGCGAAGAGAGAGAAAGGTGTAAGAGCCAAAAGGATGAGGGAGGGATTTTTTTTCCAGCATGAAATAATACTTGTTTTCTCCTAATAGAAGAAGACCCAGGACCAGATTTTGAATCCTGAAGTAATAACAGAAGCTGGGATTTGGCAAAAGACTATGGATAGCTTATTTTCTGTTGTTTTCCAGGGTCTCATTTTTTTTAGTCAGATGAAAAGTTAAAATATATTACAAAATAGAAAGTACTTCCTCAAAGTAATTGCCCAAAGAAGATGAGAGAAGCTAAAAATACATACGTTCAATCAAGAGATTTATTTTCTCCTCAGAAAATAAATCAGGTTAAAAAAAAAATACAGAGAAATGTGTAAGTGAAGATATGAGTTTGGCTGAGCTCATGAAGAGCAAGGCCACTCCCTGAAGGCTAAAAGCCCAGAAATCACCCCACGTAAAGAGGCAGAGCAGAGCATGCGTGCTTGCAAGGGGCACTTGTTCAGTTCACGGTGGAAGGCGGCAATCACGCACAGCAGCCCCTGGGGATGAGAAGGGTTGTTCTTTTTCTCAAAGACAAACAATATTTTTGGAAGAAGAGAAGGGATAGAAGACAAGAAGAGCAAATAAGCCAATGAATTTCAGGCCTGGGTTTCTCCAACGATAGCTCTCTTGACTCCCTAAGAGCCAAGTGGTTCGGGTGTCTGTGTGGCGTTCTAGAGAACAGATCAAAGCAGGAAATAGAGAGCTACATTTGAGATGTTAATCCCAACAGATCAATAATTACCACATTGTTTGCCTCAAAATAGACTTTTTGACCCGCTGGTTATGCAGTGTGGTTCTTGCTGTCTCCTAGGACAGGCAGCCTGCAGCTTCGGGCTTCACATTCAATTAGCTTCTCCTTTTTAAATGTAGAAAATCCAATTATGCCTCACTTCCGGTTTGGGAACACTTTGAAGTAATAAAAGGAGGAAAATGGAAATATCCACTTAGGATGATGGAAAATGACTTTAAAGCAGAATAACCCAGTTCTGCGTCTTCCAGCCAGTCAACTATATTAAGTTGAAGGTCATTTGGACAAAGAATGGGTTGGCCAATTTATACAAATGTTAAACTAAGAAAGAGAAATGGAAGCTAAAAAGAACTCCTGTACTTTCCCCACACGTCTGTGATCTTGAAGCTTTTAGGTGGCACAATGAAGGAGACGGCATCCTTTTAGCTTTCTGGCTTCCCTTCTTCTTCATTTCTATGGGTACCTCTGCTATAAAGGGAAGATTGAGAGCATCTGTGTGAACAGTAAGTGTCTAGAGAGCTAATGGAAGATGGTGGACCATGTGACGGTATGGATGGTATTACTGAGTTAAAGTAGGTGGATTCATGGGGGTAGACTCCAGCTTTCCTGCCATGCCTTCACTGATGGAAGGGCGCAGGAGGGGAAGATATACACAGCTGAAGTTAAGACTCAGAGGACTGTAAAATCTCTGTCGGGAGTTATGTTTTTTATAAGTTGGGAAAACAACGCTTGGTGTGCAGTAAGTGGGAACAGCTAGGCAAATCTCCATCCTGCCCTGAAGCTGTGGCTCTTCTCTTCTGCTGGACCTGGAAGGGAACCTGGTATGTTCAAGAAGAGACTGTTGAGTCCTAAATTGTCTGCCTTTTCATTAGTATGACCTTGCTCACATTTCCCTTCCAAGGAAAAGGTTTGGCTATTACTTTTTGGTGAGTGTGCAGGGCTCATAACTAATTGGATCAGGGTTACTTGACCCCAGCCAATAAATTATCAGATGCTTTGCCCTTACAGTCAATAACTAAGGGGCTGGTACCACTTTATAAAGTACAGTCATCTTTTCAAAGATGAGGCAAGGTTCTACTTCTTTTCATTCTGCAAATATTTAAAGTTATGGTCTATACACGGAGGAGTTAAAAAATAAAATATTTACAAACTGACTCTCGAGGACTCAAATGATCTTCAGCGAGCAATTGAAAGGGTAGCGCTACAGAAGAATGACGGCACTGTACACGAAAAAACAGCCATCGTCTGGAGGAAAAGACGCGGAATCCATATTCATGACTCACTTGTGGGTCTTGGCTGGCTTCTCCGGCTTCTCATTATATGGAATGACAAGGTCAACAGCAGAGTCTGGCTTCTGGAGGAGAATTCCCAACTTGATCTTGATCTCCTTGGCCCTGAAAGGAAAGATGTCAGGGAACAGGAATGACACATGGGCACACAAATCTAAAACAGTGATTTCTTTCTGCATCAGAGGAAGAAAAATGCAAAGAACCTCATTTGCTCCTTTCACTCCTATTGCGACAAAAAGAACATCAATGGTAGAAAAGAGGATGCCCAAGTTCCAACAATAGTGTTTAGAAGACACCGACTAATTTGTATGATCTCATCCCATTCTAATGTTGTCTTCATATTTTCTAATTTCCATATGATTGGTAATCCAGTCTTATTCCCATTTCACAGAGGAGAAAACTGAAAGACAGGAAGTTTAAATATCTCAATGCAACCCAGTCAGTATGTGGTGAAGCCTGATCAGTCTGTCTCCAGAATTCTCAAATATCTAATTACTAACTGAACTGTCTAGCTTGGCCATCAACTAGATGCATTACATTTGAGCGACTTTGATTTTATTTTTGCTGACAGATCTCTGTTCCCTTTCTATGAAATGACAGCGCAATGCTAGATGTCTTTGTAAGCCATTCCCAATCCTAGATCTAAACTACTTTTGGCTGAACTGTTCTAAAAATCCTTGCTCACTGGCCCATTATAGCTGCTGTAGTATCCTCCTCACAGCAGCCTTCATAGAGGAGAAAAATCTCCAGTAGATGGGCTACAGGTTCAATAGTCCTTTAACTTCAGCATTTTAGTGAGCAGATATGGTCAGAATTCCAGATGGTCTTCCATCATAGGACAGGATGTAAAGATTTTCACTTAGTTTTAAAACCAATTTTTGAAGAAAATCTCCTTTATTTTACACTTTAAACAGACCGTGGAAACTGTATATACATCTATCTATCTATCATCTATCTACATACATGTACCTATAGTGTGTGTGTGTGTGTGTGTTCACATTTGCCAAGACACATCTGTGGAGTTCAGAGGACAATTTTTGTTTAGTCAAAGTCTTCCATTTCTGCTCCTCTGAGTCTCCCAGTCGATGCTCTGGGAGATTCAAGGTAACTCTCCCATTCCCACCTCCCATCTCATTGTAGGAGTGCCAGGGTTGTAGGTGTGATCCACAGCTTCAGGCTTGTGTGTTTCCTAGGGATGAAACTCGGGTTATTGGCCTGTCTTAAAAGCATGTTTACCAGCCCTAAAATTCTAATCTCAGATACGAGTTCCCAGGACACCCAGACTGCCCTTCCTTTGTCACTGTGGCATCCCACGTGCACTTTTAAGATCGGGTTTATTGGGTCATTGTACTGCATTATGGTTATTGATCCGCGCCTGTTTTCCAAGCTGTATAGAAGAACCCTTTAAAGGTGGGAGTTGAGTCTTAAGTGCCTTTTAATCTTTGTGCCTGGTACTGTTGCTTGGCAACCTGGCAAATATTCAATAGTATTTGTCACAGTGAACTAAAATTATCCTGATTTTGTTTCTTACCAATCTGTTAACATTAGTCTCCAAGTCAGTGTCAAACATCAGCAAAGCCTTAAAAAGCTGTGATGGGGTCACACTGTAGCCAGGCAGGATTTTGATGTGCAAACATACTTTCTTAATTTTTGCACAGAGATGACAAAGAGGTGAAACACACGCCCAAGATAAATAACTATGCATATATTAAAGCCAAAGTTTAAAAAGCTTGGTCTTGTAACCTACAAACCCCACAGATCTCCAATTACTACCTTGAACTTTCTTTGAGATCAAATTATGATGCTGTAACTGACTTAGAAATAGTTAACTCTGTGATATCTATTTTTATCTCTCTTTGCTTCCATTCTTTCTCTAGAAGCTTCTCGGTGAGCAAAGCTAGCTCTAGCACTCTGTAACATCAAGTAGAGCTCAGCAGAACAAAGCTTTGTGATCGAAAGTATTCTGATAGGTGGGTCTTATATAACACATTGAATGAGATACCTCTCCCTTGATTCCAGGCTCTACAAGTTAAATTATCTGATGTTAAGTTTTTCTGGCTTGGAAATCGGTACTGATGGAATGGCAAGTTCTCAGACTTTTGTGACGATTAAAGGTGCTAGCATGTGTGAGTCACTAGGCACAGCGTTTGGACACATTTTTGCTTCTGCAAAGTTAGCTTCAGCTGCATCATCGCTGTTTCCACAGGTTTAACCTGTTTCCTACCTAAAGCACCAAATAGAGGGGTCGAAAAATTACGTAGGCTATTTTTTAAATCACAAAAGCTTCCTCGAGTATTCTAACTCAGGAAGTAAGACTATCCATATTACATTAATTAGAGTAAAATTACTATTGGGAGTTGTTTGGGAAATGTAGGCAGCCCTTGGAGCTGCCCTCTGCTGGTCAATATGTAGCATTACGGTCAGAGATATAAGGTTTATCTTCTCTCTACATTATCTGATAAAGAGTCCCCGCCTCTTGGCCTCCACATACCTCTTCCTTTGCACAAATAAGGAAAGCTATTACCAAATGCCTGACTTCAACACAACATTACACCCACCAACACTTACATAAACACTAGTGATAAGCGCTCATGTTTAGGGGTTTCCTATTCTTCCTCTCCCCGCCCCCCACTTCTATGTCTTTGACCTTTTCTCTTTTGCTTTATCTAAGCCATTTTCTTTTGTAAGGTAGAAAGATACTGGTTTATAATCTCCTATGCATGAGTCATAGTCATGCATTAGAGGGTAGTTAGAACAAAGCAGTTGGGCATTTTTAATAAATGCATGCATTCACTCACTCATTCATGCATGCATACATGCCTTACTAATTTACAAACTATGTTTGCTATATTAGGTAGCACATAATAAACACACGAACACCCATAGGCCTTGTGGTCTTTGCTGTCCATGTGCCTACAGCCCATTGAGATCTTGCACTGGGCTTTCCAGAAGGGAACAGGCCCTGCAGAGGAAGTCCCAGTCCCCTTTAGGGAGAGCCCAGGGGACTTCTCGGGGGAAGCAGAGGTAGAGTTGGAGAATGGCCAGTCATCACCCAAATGAGCGAGACCTGCTGTGTTCCTCACAAACTGGCGGACATTCACCTGACTGGTCTTGCAGGGCAGAGAGAGGGCCGTGAATGGACTGCTGGCTCATGAGATGTGAGATCGAGATCAGACTGCTGAATTAAACGAGGCTGTCACGTCTCCTTCTTCCCAATGGAAGGGTGACAAGGGATGCCATGCTGCACCTAGCCTGTGGCACATTTGGCATGAGTGTAAGAAAGAGTTAAAGGTAGAGAAAAGGCAATTCAAAGGCGTCCCCCAAACCCCAGGAATGTTTTCTCTATATCATTTGTTCGGTGGGTTTGGCTTTGTGTGTATGGGGAGTGATCTAGAGAAGGGCTGTTTACATCAGCTATTTTTTAAAAAAAAAAAATCACGTTTTGAGGCTGGGGATGAATCGCAGTTGGCTGGATGTTCACCTCCCATGGGAGAAGCCCTGGGTTTGACCCGCAGAGCCAGTTAAACTGCGTGTGGTGGCAAAGGTCTATAACCCCACCACTTAGGAGGCAAAGGCAGGTAGATGAGTAGTTTAGGGTTGCCCTTGGCTACACAGCCACCCTGAGATGTACGATACTCACTATACACACACACACACACACACACACACACACGTATATGTTTGTGTGTGTTTTCCCTTCCCAGAGCTGGTAACTATACCTGAACACCAGGTACTCTTTTCCTCTTGTTTGCCGCGGGAATGCAGGTGTGTGTGTGTGTGTGTGTGTGTGTGTGTGTGTGTGTGTGTGTGTGCAGTGTTCTTTGGAAAATACTGTTTGGGAAGCACTTCATTCCTGCCTTAGTATACATGCTGAAGGAGAGGACATTGGGAAGTTAGCGGGAAGCCACCTGACCTAATTATTCATTTGCAGCAACACAGAAAAGCATGATTATTATTGCATTTATGCTCACCAAGTGGTAATCGTTCAAAGTTGACAAATGATGGAGTCCTAGCCACTCTGAATACTGAGCATCTTAGAACAACAAAACAAACAGAAAGAACACAGAGTTGCTACACTGCTTGAGAGTTCCTGGAAAACGGCTTCACCTCGATTGCCTTCCTTCCCGTCAGGACTCTCACACAAGTGTGGGAATAGCACAAATCCACAGGAAAACCAAATTAGCTCAACCTTGCCGAATTAGCTCCCCCTCCACTTTAATGATAAACTTGAATACATCTGACATCAATTTGGTTTCATAAGCATCTCTATCTGGAGAGGAAAACTTTCTAATTTGTTTACCTCGCCAGCCACAATCTCTCGCTTTCTTTGACTGCACACTAGGAATTTTTCCCGGGTTAAATTACATCAATGCTGATTAACAAGAAATGATTTATATCTTCTATGGTCTACCTCCCCGCTCCTCTTGTTATCCTTTTGTGTTACAAGTGGGAAAAACAAAAACAAAAATTTGTTCTTAAATAAACGCCCGGCTGAGAGTTTAATTGCAGGCTCGGAGGAAGATAGTTCTAGAGATGAGTCACGCCAGCGACTTCAAGCTGCAACGGTCTGAATAGTCGTAGCCTTGTGCCAGGCTCAGTCACTCCCGTGTGGGGACGCTGGCCAGGGGGTTGGAATTCCAAGTTCTAACCTTCAGAGGCAATGTGTGTGCAAGGCCAGCACCCGGTCTCCCTACAACGGAAGCCACTCAGCCTCTTTAGAAATAGAACTGCGCAGGAGACAATGTGACTGAGAACCTAGAGAGAAGCTCGGATTCTGGATGATTCAAGGATTAAGATGGCGTTTCTGGCCCTGGTGATGTTTGGAACAGCTCCAAAGGGCACAGTTGTACACCGTGCAAACTATGTCGTAGATGTTTTTTTCTATCACTGAAAACATTGATGAGATATGAGGGGAAAAGTCTATGTGCCTTCTTGTTTCCTAAAAGAAAGCAATAACCACCCATGGAAATGCACAGACACACCCCAATGTTTGTTAGCGACCATCTTCAGCTATGCCCCCTCCCCAACTCCCTGCGATCTTCTGAATACAACTGCTTCAAATCACAGTCGACTAATTAGGTCGACTGGAGAGACATACAGCCACC